TCCAATGGATACCCCTGACAATGAGAAAGATACATCCGAAGATAGGAAGTGGGGAACTGTACTAGTTCTGAGCCAGGTATAATCTTTGCGGAAATGTAAGGTGTAGTGCCTAGGGTGCACTGGACTGTACTTGGAAAGTCAACTACATCCAAAACCTCCCCACAGAGCCCCAATATCTATGCAGGGGTAGGATGAGGATCATACCATCTTCTCCTCAAACCCAAAAATCAGGGTTTTAAGTTCTGTACCAATATCTGGGTATGCCATGGAGACAAGATGTCCATCAAATGGAATCAATTCCCCCCCAACCATGGCACAGGCCAGTACCATCTAAAGACAATAACATCCCCGAAAGAAGAACCAGGAATAGTTCAGGAGAACACCAGAACCAGCCAATTAACTACACAGTGATGAAAGACACAGATGGAGCAATTGATGGAGGAAAAGAGACAACCTGCCTCCATGGGAGGACTTACGTTGATTGGTTCACTCTAATCCAAAACCTAGACTCCAGGAACTGACATCTGCATAAAGATAGGATGAGGGCACCCAACTGAAGGGTGAACTACAAATGTGATGGCTCAACTCCAGTGTGAATTGAAAGTGGATCAGGAGGCCACGTCATCCTGTAAAGGGATGGCTCAACTCCAGCTATGTGTAAAAGGAAGTGGGAGGCAACATCATGGCTCTACTTTCCTGGTTTTGTAAATAGTAGTAGAAGGCCACATCAACCAGAAGGTGATGATTCAATTCCATTAGTTGTGTAAATGGGAATAGGAACCTACATCAACCAGAAGACGACAGCTCAACTCCATTGTTTGTGTAAATGGTAGTGGGAGGCCACATCATCCCAGAAAGAGAGGGCTAAACTCCAGTGTTGGTGTGTAACATGATCAGGAGACCACATCATCCAGCAACTCCTCTGGAGCACGATGAAAGTAGGTCAAATGGAGGTAAAGTGAGGTCATGGAGAACCACATTAATGTCCCAATCCAGAAGGGCAGGATGCCTTGGCAGCCATCAAATCCTTAAGGAATGCACGAACCCAGTAAGAACAGGAGAAAGGAAAACCTTACAGTATCAGGAAAAATGGAAGGTATGAGATAGGGCTGCCTGATATCCTGAAAGCAAGGAGATCAAAGAACTATGGTCTAACAGCCAGGTGAAAATTCCATAACATGAGCCACAGAAGGCTCGTCAGCTGGAAATCCTCTGTTAGCAGACCAACTGCGATAGACTTTAGTTGGTAGACTTCTAAGGAAGACAGTCATAAGGAATCAGCTAACAAGGAGGCAACTCAACACGTGGAACTGGATCTTCCTGCCAAGGACTGAACAAAAAGCAGACATGAAGACAGAGGATGGGGAGATTGGGATGTAGGAGGTTGACAAAAAAAGTTGGGAGAAAGTGAAAGAGGAACTGGTGATGTCATGAGCAAACTCTGTTACCTGGGAAGCCAAGGTAGTGCCATCCAAAAGGGTATTATCAGGAGGAATCAGCAAGGAGTGGAATGGACTGGAGAAATCACCCAATGCAGCAGCCAGATTGAAGGGTACACATACAGGTATATGTGTGACCAATCCTGGCTGAAAGCATCAACTGCCAAGGCATGAGAATGCGGTACTGGTGACCAAAAGAGGGGCAACTTGGAATTGAGGCTCGTGGCAAAAGCATGTAATTGAGGAGAACTTCAATGATGGCAAATGTCCCAGAAAACAAGAGGATCCAATGGCCATTCCATAGGATAGGTCCAGTCTGATCGTGAAAGATGATCTACAACAAGATTGAAAGCACCAGGCACATGACATGCGATAAGATGAATGTGACGTGCATGGGCCCAGTATAAGAGCTCTAACATCCGAAAACATGTCTCTGGATCGGGTGCCCTCAATTTACCAAAGCTTCCTGATGATTGATCTATGCCCCCAACCTGAAAGAGATGCATCCATGAACAAATGTAGATCCAAACATGGGGGAGGAAGGGAGATGATGGTAGAAAGAAAATCTCGAGCAAGGTACCATTGCTCATGAAGCACCCATTGCAGGGATCTCATGTGGGCATGACTGAGAGGGATAAGGCAGTAATGGAGGACAACATCCATAAAAGCAGTAGAACCTCGTGAGCAGTAAGTGACCAAGTCAAGAGTGAACTAAAAGTTCCATGGACCAAGGATGTAACAGAGAAGGCATGGCAAGTCTTATATTAGTGTTGAAAAAGACCCTTAGATGGACCAGATAGTGCGTGGGTAGAAGGAATGACTTGTCCAGTTTGATCAACCAGCCCATTTCAGCTGCTAGAGAAAGAAGTTGGTGGAGATGATGTCAGATGCTGGCACATCACAGGACCTGGAGAAAGAGGAAGGGAAATGGGGCAAAGGGAAAGAAACTGGAGAGCAAATCCTTCTGACAGAACCTGTATCACCTATTAATCCTCAATGAAGGGATGCCAGTGAGGAAGAAAGTCCAACAGATGAGCTCCTACTGGCTCTTAACCTACCAGGTAGGCACAGGTACTATTGGCAACGGATGGTTTCATTGTCGAGGAAATCAACAAAAAGAAGTACCCCAACTAGTAGGAAAGGTAACGGTTTGGATCATGAACGATGGGAGATAGGAATAGGGGATATGAGGCTCTGACTGAGACAAACTGGCGATAAAGGACATAAGAGTGGACTGCTGATGGGCTGATGTAATTCGAGGCTCGATAGTTTCTGGGACAGTACCAAAGACATGACGTTGCAAAATCGGAGAAGATAAGCTGACCTGGGCCAATACAGTGTCCCTACCAATAAGGTCCCAACAACAAAGAAACTATGTATGTAATGCCAGAGCCAAGGAAGAAATGTGGGCTAATGTGGAGGAGAGAATGTGCAGGGCATCTGCAGAAAAACCCTCAGGATTTCTGTGAAGTGCCTCAGAGAGGACATGTATGGAAGAGAGATACCATAGAAGGGTGATTAGAGTAAGATGAAGGCGAGAATATTGGGCATGGGGAAGACTAACATTATAATCAGGAGCCATCCCCCAAGGAGGTAACAATGAAGCCAACAACTACTGATTCAAAAATGGATAGTCAGCACGATGGTAAGAAAGTGCGTGCTGATCCAAAATCCTTGGGGGCATGGCAGGCTGATCCCCTCAATTAATTGAGTGAGAGAAAGTGATCAACATGTACCCAAATACCTGTGGAGGGACGTAAAACCAAAATGGTTGAGAAGAGATTCCATGTAATAAAAAAGGTCGAGGGAATAAGATATAGAAGAAAGGGATAAAACATTACAAATTTTGAAGACCGAACTAGGCCTAGATGATTCTCAAGGTAGCAAGTGGGAAGAAACTGCAAACTCTGGAGGCGGGAAAAGATGATCAAAATCCTAGTCATTCTGTAGAATTTCCATTAATTCAGAAGGTAGCCTGGGCGATGTCAGGAGACAAAAGTTGACCCATGCAGTGTTCAATCTCCCGATGTATAAAAGTAGAAAGATCTACCGTCAGATCGCCCACACTTGAGGCTTGAGAAACAACATTAGTTGTTGGTGTGACTCCCAAAGTGGTAACACGAACTCCAGAATTCATAATGCAAAACAGAACTCACAAATGACCAAATTTTGCCAAAGTAGATAGCGACAAATTGAACTGGGTTATAGTAGAAAAGAAATTAAAAGTAAAGTTACAAAAGAAACCACTTTGGCAGGAAAAAAATGTTCCATCCTCACACTGTAGCACTAGCACAAAGAAATGTCTGAACTCGATCACAGCCAAATGAGAAGTGAAGGTTGGTAGAGGAATGTAGAGGGAGTCACATGCATCTCGTGAGCATGTCATGCTACTATTCGTTAAAAGATGACATATGATTATTTGCAAGAGAGACATGTTGGAATATGATATTTCCAACAGAGAGAGGTGTGCAAGGTTTGTGTCATGCATTATGAAAAATTTGCATATAGAGGGCAGGGACTGAACAAGAATAACTAATCTTGTGAGAAGAGGTAAGTATCTTATTGGAATTAAAGGTCCTTTGCCAAATATTTGTCCAACTTATTAATTGGTCCAAGTCATTCTGTAATACCTCAATATCCTCAATACTAGGAATAAAAAAGAGTTTTATGCCATCAGCAAACTTTATTAATTTAATATTTACACCCATATCAATATTATTAATGTAAATAAAAACAAAGAGAGGCCCAAGCAGTGACCCCTGAGGTACTCCACCAATAACAAAGGTCCAATTTGACCGGATTCTATTAATATTTTACATATAATTTAAAGATAACAAGGGACCTGTTAACTCATCTAGATCTTTGCATTCACTAAACATAAACTGAGCTTTAAAATAAAACACTCAAAGTCAGCCATTTTCATTCAAATATTTATCAAGCCTTCCCTTAAACAGTGTCCACCACATTTGAAGGCAACCCTAGTCCTATCATTCTCACCCTTCAGTATGAAAAAAGATGATGCATCAACACTATCAAGTCTCCTAATCTTAAAATCTTTTCAACAATTCAATGTCCTTGTTAAGATAAAAATCCCAGAACTGAATATAATACTCCAAAAGTGGCCTAACCAATGACCTATACAATGAAATTATAACATCTTTAGACTTCTGTTCAATATTTCTGTAAATAGAACCTAAAATCCTATTTATCAAAATAATAATATTAACACAGTTTATGGTTACAAAAAACAGTTAACAATATATAGAGAAAATATTATAGTAATATCAAAATTAATACAAATAATACATTTTTTCAAACCATTCACATACAAGAACTTAATAATTGTCAAGAACATGAATGTAAGTCTGAACCATTACATGAGCTGTTGATCAGGCAACACAATTCAAAGAAAGAATCACATCAAGAGTCTTTTCTTTGCACATTTTCACATTATTTTCATATAATAAATAAAATATTACAGATACAATGTCTTTGGCAGAAATAAACTGGATATTCAAATATTATGGGAAAGTGAAATAATTTTACTGAAAAATATCTTACCTGATAGAAATCCTTATATATATAGCTGTAGAGCCAGTCATAGACTACTGAATTCCATGTACGGTAGTATTTGCTAAAAGATGTACAGTTCCACCAATCCTATTCCAAAATATCATATATTTTAGTTACCTGAATAAGAAGTTCTGACCAAAAGTAAGCAATGTTTTGTAACTATAATTTAAACTTTTAAAAACTTTAATTTGTTTAGTCATCTTTATAAAGATTGATAATTTGCATTTTTAGATGAAATAGCAAATTTCAAGAAAGTTATTATAAATCACCAGTGGAATATCTATTCATCGGTATTACCTAAATGTATAACTAATAATCATTTTTGGCTTGGTGGAGTAAAATTTTACCATTTCACAAACGTGCCCAAATTAACTGGAAATGCAGTAAACAAATATTTCAAAGTTCTATATGTCAAGTAAAATTTGTCTATGTCATTATTTATAAACTTTTGAGATATTTTTAAAAAAAGTCCATAAACAACTATGAAGAAATCAGGAAAAAAGAGAGAATTCAATATTGAACACTATGAACAAATCATGAAGAAGAAAAAAAAAGAGAATTAAATCAATATTCAGGTTAATCCTTAAAGCAGCTTTTAATTGCTCCACCAATGAAGATACCATATACTGGCTCAGCAGCAAGCTTGAAGGCTAACAGTACTAAAATTTAGAGTTTGATTCCTGAAGTGGGCACAGCATAGATAGCTTATTGTGTAGCTTTGGTCTTAACAACAAACAAATAAATAATGCTAATGATGTTCACATAATAGTATTAATACTATTTAAACATGTATCATACAACCCAATCTAAAAATTATGTAACCTAACAAATTACTGCATCTATCATAGAATAACCTAACCTAAAAGCTAAGCATGTATCATAGTGCAACCTAACATTTTGAGCATGTATTGTATTGTATAGCAACCTATCCTAATGGTTTGAGCATGTATAATACAACAACCTAACCTAATAGCTTAAACGTCTATCAAAAGCAACCTAAGCTAACACATTAAGCACATATCACATAACAATCTCTCTATAAAAAATAATATAATTCTGAAATACTGACCACATAAGTCACTCTAAATATACTGATTTGTTTGTTGTCAGTGCCAAAAATACTACTACTAAGAATTTACAAGTTCCTATATGCAAAAGTCTTATCTACTTTAATACATTAACCCTTATATTAGTATCAGTACTTCTATAGAAAATAAAAAGGTAATCAAGAACTTTAAGGCTAAAAAAATATATATACACTTTTGACTTCTGTAGTCTTTATAGTAAAGAAAAAGACTTGTGTCCTAAGTATTATGAATAATTAATGAAAATTCTGATATTGAATTATTGAAGTTTCAAACTTGTAATGATAAATGTCTCAATAATAAAAATGCATATGAAACATGTTAATTTTTCTGCATTAAATCAACATTTTCGCAAGCTATTTATTTGTAACTTTAAAACATTTTTTGTACATTTTTGGTCTGGTATGCTTTCCCAAAATCCTATAGGAAAAGCAATCTTAGCCCAAGATTTTCTTAGTTTTTATTGTTTTTTTATATGACACTAAAGTTGCAATTTCTTTTATAGTGTATTATATACAATTTTATTTGTGATGAATACAAATTCTTAATTGGCTATTGTAAATGCTACTTCTGATTTTATAAGTAGACAACACTTTGAAAACTACAATAATATTCAATCAGCTTTATTCACTTTTCATTACTTTTTTACATGATACATAGAATAAGTAAACTGTGTTAGTTTCACATTATCAACTCTATAAAGTTTCACTCTTTCTTGTGTAGTTAAATTAATAAAAGGTACTACTGGCAGTTTTCCATTTTTACAATATAAGTAAAAAATTAACTTAGTAAATTTTAAAAGTTTAACCCTCTTATGGAGGAAAGAGTAAAATGTTTGGGATGATTAACCGATATTATTTGATTAGTTACACCAGTTTGTCTTAAGTAACTAATTAAAAATACAGTTACTGTGGCCTTTGTTAGGAGTGTCAATAAGCCAGAGAGTATCAATTTTATAAGTCCACTCTTGATTCTTCACTTTCAGTTATTGAATAAATTATATGAAGGAATGCCAGCAGTAATATCACATTGAAACAAATACAAAAATGGCAATCACATAATTGTACACTAACAAATACATTAAAACTGAAACTATATTAACAGTCACTTGTGTGATATCTGCCACTGACATATCCTTAGCAAAAACTTTTTTCAGTTCTGAAAGTTTTTATACTTAAATTTACTATTTTTGTGTTTGTTTTCTTTTACAATCTGTTGCTGAATAGTTAGAGCACATACATATTTCAATTTTGTCTAACGTTTATGGCTTGCATGAAAGCAGAAATTATATGTAACTTTATAAACTAGATCTTTCCCCAAAAGAAGAATATTTATTTCTAATAACTACAGTCATTATTTTCTTTTATTTTTTTAATTTGATAAAAATGCCTCAAAACGATTTTTAAACAGTTTTGTTTTTTAGTTTTTCTTGGATAAACTAGCATTCTGTTTTTTGTACTATTTTCAACCTCCTGGTAAGCCTTTTTTTATCATATTTTTTAAGCATGTGCTATTTTTTGCTAGTGCACTGATGGTTTAATTTTTTTCCTCTAATTACATAAGTTATTTTAAGTTCTTTATTAATACAAAGTATTTTACCTGATAGAACACACGATCACCAAAACACAGAAGTTCTGCAAATGCATTGAGCCAACAGTGTAAAAAACCATAAAATACCAGGAACATGGCAAGACTACCAACAGCCATAGCACCAGACAAAGTGAGGACAAAGTCAACAGGGGTGAAAGGCTTGTGACCCACATGCTGAAAGATGTCTACAACAAATCTGTGAAAGGCTATACAGGACGTGAAGATGCATGTGAGAAACTGCAGGAAATTCCAAGCCACGTAGTTCCAACGGATGCAGAAAGTTCTACAATAGAAAATAAAACAAAGTAGAAACTGTAATAAAGTTAACTAATAAGATTAAAAACTACAGTGGCATGTGTATATCAAAAAACTAGAAACATTCCAGAATAAGAACAAAACATTTTTGTAAGCTATATTTTCAATGTTACCTAGAGGGCATGAAGCTGAAATAGTAAATTTGACTAAGACCTAGATGGGTACCTTAGTTATAAACATTAGTATCCAGTGGTTTCAATGAGTACCAGTTAGGCAGTTCAGTTCATTCAGTGATTGAGAAGTTAGCAAAGTATTCAGATCAGTATTGTTGCATATATTTTATTTGATTGATTAGCCATGAAATTGTACAAGTAAATTTATTGATACATTAGTCCTGGTACCATTAGTGAGTAAATTTCTATTGAAAGTGAGAAAATTATTGGTGGACTTAGGCCTACAACTGTGTACAAGTAATAGTAGTCTGTAACAAACATTAAGGAAGAAATAAAGTAATATGTTATCACCACATAGGCTAGACTACATTATTTTCACCAAATAATTTAAAAGAACACATTAAAACAAGATCACTTAATTCTTAAACAATCATGTAACAAAATGGCTCATAATGCCCCATTAACTAGACATTCAAGTGCAACAATAGACTATTTTAAGTATCATTTTGCATTTATTAACCTTAGTAGTGCGACTGTAAGGAATTCATATAGTGTTATACAATAGAGCAAGTTATGAAACCACTGTATGAATCACCTTGGGTAGACATCTCTATACACTAAAGTTGGTGCAAACAGAAAATACAAGTAGTTGGCAAAACATGGATAAGGTCTAGGGTCTTTCTCATCATTATCTGTGTAAAGAAAAATTCACAAGTTCAGAAAAATCCAGCTGCATAAGCATATAGCATTTTAACTCTTAAGTACATAATATAAGATGGGTCCTAAATATAAAAATCAAAGTTTTTTTTTCTGATATAAACCATATAATCATGGGTATATATATACTTCAGTAAACTTTAGCCAATGTCTTGATAATAGAGCCTAAGAAACATGCTGTGACATTAGCACATAAGAAATGTTATGACTTACCATACAATCTTTAAAGCACTGGAGAAAAGTTACTAACCATTATCATGGATAAAGAAGATGGAAAACATAACATGATATCACAATATTAACTTTAAAATATATAAAATTGTTGTCTTAAGCACATACTTTAGTAGAATGAACAAAAGAATCATGGTTTTTAATCCATAATTTGTAGAATATGAAGCAGCATTGTGTTCTTAAGCACATACTTTATTAACACATACTGTAGAAATGATTTTCTAAAAATACATTAAACTGATAACTTATTTCATATTATTATAATCCAACCCTAGTATAAATAGCAGTACAATATATAGTAGAATTAAATCTAGGTATGTAGGAGTCATGTATGTCAGTAAATGTAGAACTGAGGTTCCAAATATAAAAGATTTTTTAAAATAATACCTACATTACTATTATCACTGGGAGCTAAAAAGAAATATATTACTAACACAACTTAGAATTATGATGCCAAGCACATTCTAAATATTGAAGTTATATTCACATTTAAAAAGTTATGTAAAAAAAATATGGCAGCATTGAAAACATATACACTACTTATGTGATTTAAGTGAATGTAATTGGATTAAAACTTTCTTTATATGAAATGATACATACTTCAACATATTTTAACATCATAAAGGATAAAAAATACAATTTAATCAGCATCAACACTCAGAAATAGTATAAGCTTTTACCTTGATGTAATTTGAATTGAACAGCACGAGGTATGTTTTCTCTGACAAAAGCATGTGTCTTCATTGAAAGTCGAACCTAGACAGTCAGGTGAAAGAGACATCCATAGCAAGTATATCAGAAACTATTACATGTAAATAGAACAACTATTTTTCTTGAAGCCAAGTGGCATTTCATTTTGTCTTTAGAAATATAACAATCTATACTTCTAAAAACCAACTGGTTATAGTTTCTGGCATTACACACTACTGATGTATCTATTAAGGGTGAATTTCTACAGCATCTTATATCAGTTCTCAGTATACCTGCAAAGTAGATACATGAATATGCGCAAACATGTCCCTCTCATTGCTTTTAATGGAGTTAAACAGAAAAATAACTTTGATTTAAAACTCTTTCACAGTGATATAATTCAGCTCAAAATCATTTAAGTACTGATCTAAATTTATTTGATAATACTAATTACTAGTATACACCAACTAAAACTCACTCCTGATGATATCTCAATGTAATGATATACTCCAACTAAAAACTCATCTGTCACTTTATCTCTATGTACTGGTATACATGAACTAAACTTACCTCTGACTCTAACTTTATATAATGATATACTCCAACTGAAACTCACTTCTGAGACTATCTCGATGGAGTGATATACTCCAACTACAAACTCACCCCTGATGCTATTTCTATGTAGTGGTATACACCAACTAAAACTTACTCCTGACTCTATCTGTGTAAGATATACATGACTGTTTCATTTAAATTTAATGTGAGAATTATGAAGAATGTGTATTAAATTTAGTATTTTTAAAAACAATAAGTTATTGCAGGTTTGTTATGTAACTGTTTACGAATCATTTGTTGTGTAATTTAGTTATTGTGAATTGACATCACGTTACTCAAACTTTCTGAATGTTTCTCATTGATTTAAGTGAGTATTGTTACATCATAACATCTTGTAGCTTGAAGAAAGTTTTTGGGACCTCAGTTGAGTAGTATATATATATGTATATAGGTGACTAAGTTAGTGCAAAATTCGTTAGAGATATACTCAAGTAGATCTAGACTGTGTTTGTAAGCTTAGCCATAAAGAATGTATACTGGCAACTTTTAAAGTGTAATAATCTCACATTGTATTGTAATAACAGAGTAGTGAAGAATAATTCATCTTGTCAATTGGGTTCTGAAGTAAACGAGTATGCCCGTGTGGACTTTTGACAAAAAATAGAATTATTTAAAGCCCTGGATACAACTGTGGTGATTAACAGTGTAATGAACATTTGTATATATGTTTGACTTGTTTTGAATATACTATTTTAAAACAAGTGGATTGAGTGATTTATTGTTGAAGTTTATTACCAACAAGTTAGAGACACCTACCATAAAGAATTGCAGAACTTTAACACCTGACAATCTATGTGTACTGATATACACTAACTAAATCTGACTCATTGTACTGGTATACACCAACTAAAACTCACCTCTGATGCTATTTAGAAATCAACTTAAGATATTCTCTACAAACTGTCGATAAATCTAATTAGTAGTGCTTGCTTTCCTTTGAAATATAATTGTCTTTATTTTTCTTCAATTTTTATTAAATAATTTATAGAAGAGCCAGACTTTATGAATATTACCCATTTTTTGCTTTGTGAGATGCAATAATAGTTATTCTAATAAAGTTGTGAATGTCATTGAGTCATTGGTCAGTGAAATAATTACCTGTTCAGCCAAAATAGCAAAGGATGATATTGGAGGTAGCTTATAGTAAATTAGTATCATTACTGGAATGATGAAGAATATAATTTGATAAACCAGGTACGTCAAAGCAAAAATATAATCCAATAAACCTAAGAGAAAAAAACAGAAATAAATATCAAGTTAAAATGACCAGATGATTGTTACTTCAGCAATCAACAAAACAAGTTGGTTTTTCAACCAGAAATATCTCTTACATGTACACTTTGAACAACATGTTTTTGTGTGAGAGTAATATACAGGAGTGTTAATTGCTCCTCACTAATTAAATCATTCAGTAAAAATTTAATATAGAATATAAGTAACTTACTTATACTGTAAGTTTTGTTTAACAAAAAAAATTCCATTATTCATATTTCTTGTTTACAAAAAAAAGGTCCAAATTCAAAGGAAACACTTAGAATTTTAATTTTGTTCACTAATTTGAAGACTTTATTACTGACCTTATTATTATTAACAGAAAGGTTTAACAAAAAAGCTGTTTGTATTGTAACATTATAACATGAATAACTTACATGAATTAAAAATGGTTCTTGTTGTTTGACTACAAAGCTACACAGTGAAATGTGTGTGTGTGCTAGTCCATCCAGGGGACCTTACCACTGACCCACAAGAGGATTATTTAGAAGGTGCATCAGCCTTCTTCCCAAGTAGCACAGAGAAAGTGTAAATATAATCATTAGTAATTTCAAACATAGTTGTGGTGTACAGTATTTATACTAGCTCTGAATATTTCTGGTATGACAGTGTTTCATGGAAGATGCAGAGAAAATGAGCATGTGAAAACAAAAGAATGAGAAAAAAAAGATCAGAAAAATGTTAACTAAAATGAAATAGAAAAAAATAAAAAATTAGAGATTAATCATAATAATTTAAAAAAACGGTAATTGAATAGATTGGAAAAAAATCAAAAAACTCTAAAGTCTAAGTAAGTTAAAATAGTGCAAACAAAAACAAATATTTAACAAACAAAAAAAAACTTGTTAAATGTTGAAGATCACTGAGTTTGGAATCAAGTCTCTAAAGTTTAGGGAAGAATATTTAAAGAGGTTTCTTTCATTTCTTTACTTCTAAACCTAGTTTCACTATTTAAGAGAACTACATTGTTAATAAAATGGTCAAACTGGTCAATAAAAGATTTATAGTTGTTTGAAGCAATATGTACACACCTACAAAATTCCTATTCAAAACAAGCCTCAACACTTTTGTGTTTTCAGTGTAAGTTACCATATCACTGAATATCACTAAACTAACTTTCACACTTTTCACTTCTTGGTTATTCCCAATTCACAGCTGAAGAAGGAAGATTTTTCTTCTGAAACTGCTATAGTTTCCTGGATTCTTGTTTCCCCATTTGTGTGTTTTGTCACACATAAATTCTTTCATTTTTTTTCACAAAATAATTTGTATCACAACAATTGAAGGAAGTTATAAATATAAAATTATATAATGCATCTACTTTTGCTTCCGGTCAGTCATCCATAGTAATGATTGGATAAAACTTGTGGTAATAGTACCCAAATATGCATTGGGGATATCCCATGTATCAAGCAAAATCCAAAATGCTGAAGTTAAACAAGTTAACTATCATGGAAAATCAAAACAAGGGTGAAGAGGTGAGTGCTTAAACCTCCTATTGCCTTTCATTGTCTGCAGCCAGTTACCCTTAAAGTTATTTAAGTTCTAAAAGTAGAAACAGAACCACCCAAAATTTCTTCAGTATAGAACTTCCAACCACCACCCTTATAAAGGTCTTTAAAAAAAAAAGTAACTTACTTATAAATTGTCAAAAACTTATTCAAGTATGACACGGGAAAGCTGAGTAAGGCCCAGCTACTTGAAGTTGATCTTTCCAGTCCCGGAATACTGAATAAAAAATTGGTTTTATAAATAAGTTAGTTATTCAAAGTCATCCCTGATAAACTAACGACCTCTAAGTAAGGAGTTTTCTCATGATTGAAAGTTTATTATTTAAAATAAATTAATATTTATTATAAAAAATAGTAAAAAACCCTCCTTAGTTGTATATCTCTATATCCATTATTTTATAGTTTATTTAGGAATAAGGAAACATTGTCCATAAAAGAGTTATTACTATTGCATACCATTAAAAATATTTTCAGTTGTGATATAATAATCCCTTTTAACAAAACATTAAGAATAACACTATGGGGAGTAGGTAAACTAAGAATGGGAAAATTAATTTTCCTTCTTTTATCAAAAATGGTCAACTGAACTCTGCCTTCTACAAAATAAATGTCTGTGTCCAGATAATTAGAGTAAGAATCATTGCTATTGCTTTTTTTCTATAGTTAATTCCTTAGGATATATTATATTTAGGATGAGGTTTAAATTATTTATTGAAATGAAATCATTAATATATAAGAATGTATTAAAAAATTAATATTCATAGAAAAATAGACACAAATTGGCCATATTTGAAGAGAAATTAGCACTCATTGGAATACCCACCGTTTGTTTATAGATCTGTTGATTGAAAGTTATATAACTATTATAAATGCAGAAGTACAGTATGTTTTTGCATTGGATCTTAGTGAAGTTTTTTTTTTGTAATACCCAACTCTGCATCCATAAAGTTATCAAACAGGTTATTAAATACTCTAACAAGATCTTTTAAATCTATTGTTGTATATAATGAAGTAAAATTGTAAGTCGTGACTGAATTTGTTGTTTTTAATAAATCTAGATTATTTAGACATTCTATAATTGGAATATTATTATTTATAATCCCTAAAAAATTTTCTGAATTTTTTGATAACATTGTTTCTACATTTTTAAACAAAATATCTAAAATTTTGTTAAGTGCAATGGAAATGGATTTCATAACAGTAATTAAAGAATTGGTAATAAATCTAAATTTTACAGGATTCTTATGGAATTTAAGGATAGCACATAAAAATGGTAAATTATAGCAGTTTGTGTATACATTCAATTTTATAACAGCTTTTTTTATATATTAATAATAACAGTATCTTTCTTTAAAACAGTTTTTGTAAAAGTACTTGAGGTATTGATTTCATTAATTAGAATTTGGGCATATAATTTTTTACATATAAAGCCATAATGACATCCAGCTTTATCAATAGGAGTAATAATAAAATTATCTTGAACCATTTTTATTTTGTAGTTAAAAACATTAAAGGACAAGTCTATTTTATATCTAGATAAATTAAAAGTTCTTAATTGAGTTTTAATACATTTAACGATATACAGTTTTCACTCATAAAAGAAACATGGTAGGAAATATGTTTTTTTACTTAATTTAATAATATAGTTATCAATATTATTTTCTAAATTTTTTAAGATCTCAGATTTGTCTTTTTTAAAATTTAAAATTTAGTACCATTTTCTAAAATTAATTTTAATTCATTATCTTCTATTACTTCTAAGTTACCTGTTACTATATGATTATAAAAAGTGTCCTTAAATTCATTGAACTAAACAATAATATCACTTGTCTTGTATTCAATATTTCTATAGATGCTACCAAAAATCTTATTATCCCTATTGCTAGCTACAATACACTGTTTAGATGACTTAAGTGATTTTTTTATCACAATCCCAAGATCGTTTTCTTCAAACACAGTATTTAATGTATTCCCATTTAAGTAGTAACAATAATTTGAATAGTGAAAACCAACATGCATCACCTTACATTTTGGATAGTTAAACATCATCTGCCACATATTGGCCCAATGCATAAAATGATCTAAATCTGCCTGTAAGTCTGCAGCATCTTTGATACAGTTAGTCACTCCAAAAAAAATCTTAATGTCATCTGCAAACTTTAATATTTTGTTAGTCATTCCAGAGTCAATATCATTAATATAATTTACTACTCTACAGCAAATTTTCTATCCAATTTATTAACATTTCCCTCACACCCACAGATTTCATTTTTGTAACAAGTCTTTTGTGAGGCACCTTATCAAATGCCTTCTGAAAATCAAGGTAAACCAAATCCACAGTATTTCCTTCATTAACTCTTGAAGTAACATTTTCAAAGAATGTCACAAGATTTGTTAAACAAAATTTTCACTTAGTAAAACCATGTTGGCTCTTTGACACTATATCAAACTGCTTTAAGTGACTCTGCAATGCATTTTTAATTACACTCTCCAAAACCTTTCCAACTACTGATGTAAGACTAACTGGCCTATAATTGCCTAGACAATGTTTATCACCTCCTTTAAATATTGGACTAACATTAGCTAACTTCCAATTTTCTAATACTCTTTCAATACTCAATGACCTATACAAATATTAAGTTGCAGCTCACAAATAAAGTCTTTAAGTTTCTTGAAAACCTTAGGATAAAAGTTGTTTGATCCAGAAGACATTTTTGGGTTTCCCAACTTTTCTCTTACAATTTCATAACTCAAAATGATATATATTTTATACATCAATAATTTCCCCATACATTAAGTGCTCTGGTTGAGGCATAATACGTGTATCTTCCTTCGTAAAAATTGAAAAGAACGTATAATTTAATAAGTTTACCATCTCATAATCTTCTGAGATCAGCTCCCCACTATCATTTTTAAGAGGCCCAATCCTCATCCTGACATTTTGCTTACCCATCATGTACCTAAAGAATTCCTTAGTGTTTGATTTAACTCTCTCAGCCAACCCTCTTTCATATACAGTTTTTGCCCTTTTAACTTCCTTTTTAACCAGCTCTCTTGATTTTCTATAGTCCTACAAGTCCTTATTATTTCTAGTAAGTTTAAATTTCTTGAATTTATTGTTATGTCTCTGTTCGTTAGTTAATTTTCCCTAAATTCGTTCCGACAAAACTTTAGTGACACAAGTCCTTTCTTAAATAAAACTGGTTTATTCTTTCTGATTACAACTTTATGATACACTTAATTTCAACAGTCGCTCTATAATTCTCAACGAACGTCTCACGTGCTCGACTTCAACAATACTCAGTTCAATTACACACTCTCTGACTGCAGTTCAATTACTCATTACCTCTCCATCGCTTCGTGGCCAGTCTTATATATACAAGACTACACTATATCTAGAAAGATCACGAGATTTAAGGAAAAGATGTGAAAGTTCGAGAATGGCGTGGCGTGATACTAGTCACGTGACCTCGATGTTGTAACATTATTATGTTTATCCCTAATATTATCACTTAAACTTTTACTAAACCATACTGTCTTGTTCTGTTCCACTGCCCTTTTTTTATGTAGGGAATATGTATGTTCTGTATGCATATCAGTTTTCCCTAAATGCTTCCCACATCTGTTCAAGATCTCCTCCTAACTCTTTAGTCCAATCTACATAAGCCAGATCATGTCTCATTTCATCAAAATTGGCTTCGCTGGAACTTGGAATCAGGGTACTATTCTTCAATTCTACATGTAGTAAAATCCCAAACCTAATAGTGCAATGGTCGCTTGTACTTAAATGCTCTCTAACCACAACTATGTCTATCATTTTCACATTGGATGCTAATACTAAAGCTATAATAGCTTCCTCTCTTGTAGGTTCCATCACCAGTTAGTGTATAAAAGTATCCTGAACAATCTCCAAAAACCTATCCCCCTCACTGACAGACTCGATATTTTCCCAATCAATACCCCTGAAATTAAAATCTCCCATAATAACATCTTTTTCAGTTACCATTCTGATCTCATAATACAGTTTCTTATTAACTTCTACATTCTGACCTGGTGATCTATAACAAATCCCAGTTACAAG